AGCGTGATCTCGCGGTTCAGGAGTTCGAGCCCCGCGTTGGGCTCTGTGCTGATGCCTCGGAACCTGGAGCCTACTTCGGAATCGGTGTCTCTCTCTCTCTCTCTCTGCCCTTCCCCTGCTCATGCTCTCTCTCTGTCTCTAAAAATTAAGAGGAAAATTTAAAAATAAATAAAATGTTAGGCTTCCTGAACGGAAGTACACAGGATTGCAAGGGGCGATGTATCTAAGAGCCCATGAGAACATGTGTACTCAGTACTAACGCCACAGTCTTGTCGGATAAATACACAACACTGGCTAACTTTGAATTTCACATAAAAAACACATAGAAGTATGCCTCAAATATCACACAAGTAATTTTTAATAGTAGTATGGATGAGACATAAACTAAAAAAATTACCTGTTGCTTATTTGCAATTCAAATTCAGCTGGGCATCCTGTGGGGGTTGTTTTGTTTTGTTTTGTTTTTAATGTTTACTTATTTTTGAGACAGAGAGAGACAGAGTATGAGCAGGGGAGGAGCAGAGAGAGAGGGAGACACAGAATCCGAAGCAGGCTCTGGGCCCCGAGCTGTCAGCACAGACAGCCCCCCGACGTGGGGCTCGAACTCACGGAGAGTGAGATCATGACCTGAGCCGAAGTCTGATGGGGGCTGGAACTCCTGAGGCTGAAGTCGACGCTTAACTGACTGAGCCACCCAGGCGCCCCCATCCTGTGATTTTATTTGCTGAAGCTGACAGTCCCAGATAAAGGGCGCGGGAGGGGCCAGGAGAAAATCAGAAATGAACTTGGGTGGGTTACTCTCCTGGCGTATCTCTGCAACCTCCACTCCACGCCACCTCCGAGAAGAGCTGGAGTTTTGCGGTGATGCCTGCCCAGTTACACCGCTCTCTTTGGGAAAACCGTCTGTTGGGAAACCGTTTTTCATGAAACGAGCCCCCTGATTACGGTGGATCCTATGTACGAACCCCTTTGAGAATCTGAAGAGAGCTGCGGGCTCGTTACAGAAAAGTGAACCCACTGGCTTGACTTGTGTGTGAGCACTGGTGTCATTATGCGTGCACACACACACACACACACATACACACTTTTATATACAATTTCAGGAAGTCCCAAACTTTCGCATGGGTGACACTTTCCTTCTAGAGCTGTGGTCTCTCAATGTGGTAGTTCTAGATCCCGAGTAGGAGGAAACTGGTGTCCACCCCGAACCTAACTAAGACGCAGCGCTTTTGCTAGCTCTGGCCACCCACGTACCATGACAACACACAGAAGTGGGCAGGAAGAAGCATTCTGTCCCTCCCCTCCGCGAAGGCCTTGAACCTCTTCCCTCCTCCACCTCTCCCAGAAAGAACAGGGAATCCGGCATACTTGGACAGTGAACCCACCAGCCCTTGTGGACTGGCGCCTCAGCCGAGTGGAAGGCACTGAATGAGATCACTTCCTATTCCAAGACCCTCTCTGTT